TGCCTCAGGGCGACAACATAGTCAGAAACTGCCTCCCCTTCTTTCTGGTTACGTTTCTGAAAACGAAAACGCTCAGCTATCACCACTGGAGTCGGCTTATAATGCGCACTTAACGCTCCAGTCAGCGCTGCATATCCCATGGTACTCGGTACCCTCGGAGACACAAGATTCTTTAGCAGCCTGTATGCATCTGCTCCGATCACAGAGAAAAACGTGCACACTTTCTTCTCATCGGAAACATCATTTGCCAACATCCATTGCTCCAACTGCTCCAGATATGACTCAAAATCTTCCTTCGATTCATTATACTCTTCAACACGACCCACATGCATCGCCATGTTAGCTCACCAAAAGCTGTTCCGCTGCAGCCGTGAAGAAAACGTCTTGATTTGTCTTTTTCTTTACATGTGAACACAACCCTCCTACAGCCTCTGTCACGCTGTGGAAATCTTTAGAATCCTCATCGCCAGTTGTGATATTCTGGATTAGGCTCTTAAAAGGATCAGGACAGAAGGACGTGGTTAGGTGCCTTTATTGAACAGCCGGACATCACACACTAACTTGTTGTTTCTTAGCGGTGCAGAAAACTACCCTTTTTTGTTGTTATATATTGGTCAACCAAGAACTAGCCCTGTAACAGGCACTTCTGTATTTTACCACTGGGGGGCAACAATTCACTCTATTACAGTGATGACTTGTGATCTCCTTCTCAAAGTGGTCATTTCCCTCCATAGGGCAAGATGTGTATGTTTATGATATAGTCACAAAGACAGTGAAGACCAAGACGTGGCCCCACCTGCCTCTCTGCACCTCTGCTTTCCGCTGGGCAGAACACTACTACTGTTTCCATGGACACAACTTCACCAGGTTCAACCCAGTATCAGGAGAAGTTAGCGGCACGTACCCAAAGGATGCCCGCAATTACTTCATGAAGTGCGAAAACTTTGGTGGGTTCATTAAGAAGAGAATCTTAGAGATTCATTTTGGAGGTTTTTTTGTCAGATACATACAATCTTGTGTGTTTCCCGCAGGTCACGGAGGTGATCACAAGGCTCCTAAATGCAGCGAAGTCAAACTAGATGCCATTACTACAGATGACAGAGGCAGAATTTATTTATTTACAGGTAATGTGACATATGTTTCAAATTCTCAGTTAGCTCTCACTTAGTGTGATCTCCCATAACTGAATAAATAGATTATAATTTAATTATTTCTAGATGGGCTTTTAGCTGAGGGAACTTCGGACAGTCCTTGTATTTTGAGTTAATTTAGGATAAAATTTAAAGCAAAAAAAATGATATTTCAGTTATTTTATTGCCATCAAACATCAAACTGTAAGAGTTTAAATACCAAATAAAATAACATTAACAGTCAACTAAATAATGATGTTACCAAGCTAAACTAAGAAGGTGCATATTAATAACACACTTAAAATAGCATTTAGCTATTTGGCTAAGTAACATATAGCCTTATGTAACTGCTAAAGTAGGATTCTTTTGCAGTTTAGTTGTTGCACAGATCAAACAAACAAATTGTCACTTTTCTTTTTTGTAACTTTACAACTTGCCAGGTGTATTTTTGAACTTTAGTGAGAGTCAGGCTAACCCGGAAAGTTTACAAGGAAACAGCTGAGCTAATAGCATGTTGATCCACACTTTATATGTAGCATACAGATTTAGGAGTGCTTCATCCAAATGTGATCCTGTAAAAAAATGTCTTTAAGTTTTCTGCCATGATAAAGAACAAGTTCAATTTCTCAGGGCTTAACTACATGCGTGTGGACAACAGGCGTAACGGCCTTCACGCCTTTCCAATAACCAGGGGATGGAAAGAAGTGACAAACGGGGTGGATGCCGTTTTCTCCTACACCAACAAAATGTACCTGATTAAGGTAGACACCATATAAACCCCCCCCCCCCCCCCCCCCCCCCCACACACACACACACAATTTCTGTGTTGAAGTTAAAACTAAAATCCACTTATTCTAACAAAACACTTACAGGATGATCAGGTTTACATCTATAAAACTGATGCCCACTACGTCCTAATTGAAGGCTACCCTAAATCCCTCAGGGAGGAATTAGGCGTTGAAGGAACCGTGGATGCCGCTTTCCTCTGTCCCAATGAACACACAGTTCATATACTCCAAGGTAAGTTACTGAGTGCTTATGTCTTAGTTTTTGTGGAGAAAATTGGTATTTACATTTGCTTTCTCCAAAAGGACACATGATTCGTGACGTTGACCTCACTGCCACGCCCAGGGTCATCAACCGAGAAATACCTTTGCCCTTGCCTGATATTGATGCTGGTCTCTGTGGTCCAGATGGCATTAAAGTGTTCAAGGGTTCACAGTATTACCTCTATGAAAGTCCCATGATATTGGCTACAAGCAGGATCGCTCCTGTTCCTCGAAACATCACGTCAGGAATGATAGGGTGTGAGGATTAATCAGAAAAAGAAAAATGAGGAAGAAACCTTAATAATAATTTACTGGCAAGTCAGTTTTTGGACGTGAAGACTCCAGCGAAAGCTAAAGTAATAGGGAACAGCTTTATTAGGTGACCAACGCGTTTCGGCTTGTGGCCTTAATCAGGGTCATTCAAGTCAGTTTTTGGAAAAATGATCATGTCTTGCAATGAAGTTTGACTTGCTTGGTGAATAAAGCATTTTTCATGGTGAAATCTTTATTATTAAAGCATCTATATTTTGAATCTGCAAGCTTGGAACTGAAATCAACCAAGTTCAGTTAAAATGAAGTACTGTCAGAGTTTGGCCACAAGAGGACCTGCTGTACAAAGGCATGCATATTCCCATGCATGGCTCTGTCCCAGTGATTTGCTTCTTTAATGAACAAAGTGTGACTTCTTCTTGTTGTTGCACTGATATTACAGGTCCTCTTGCTGACCAAAAGTTTTTTCATTTCTTATAGCTTTCAGAAATGATACTGGTACTTTAAAACTTATATATATTTCTTTTCTGTCAGCTTTATACAATCAATACGGAGTATTCAGGTATCTGAAAAATCCTTTTCAGGACTATTACTTGACTAAAAGGCATCAGGTCAAACAAACAGCTCATGCAGATTGTTTTCAGTCATTGCTTCTGTGCCCAAATGAGACACATCCTCTGATGTCACATCCAAGGGGGCACTTGAGTGCTCTAAATGCCTCTTTTGTAAGTGCATCTGCCTTCCAAGGGGCTCTTCGGTCGGCCCAGATAACATTTCGGTTAGCTTAAGTGCTCCTTTAGTGTGAAAACTAGGAATTAAAAAATGAACTTTTGACTTAACCCCTCCCTCTTAAATAGCCTATTGATTGCACAAATACACAAGGGCAGCACAGTAATGCACGTGATGGAGCTTTTATCCATTGTGTTGATTTTAAAATAATTTTCCTCAGACAATCTCTTTTTCACCTTAACTTTTGAATATGTCATATGACAAATAAAACTTTTACTAGATCATACCTTTTATTAGCTTCTTGAACGTGTTGTAGGTTTTACAATTATTTTTGAAATTAAAAAATGAAAACAAAGTTAATTTTTAATATGTTAACATCAAAGTCAGGTATTGCATTTCCATCATCCTTTTATTATCAATATGTATATGTAGATATATATAACAGAGTTATAAATCCAGTTCTCTCTCTTTATTGCAAAATATTTAAATTACTGTCTCTAGCCATACTGGACCATGCAGACACGTACGCACCAGCCTGCAAGAGTCCAGAGGTCGGAATAGCATTAGCAGGCATTCAAGGCCTTTTCTCTCCCCGGAGAGGTTTTTGTTCAGCCAAAATCCCTGGGACTTTCAGCCAGCATAAAAGAAGTGCTGGCCTCAGCACAGTTTAATGGGTGAGGCCACTGGGACACACACACACACACACACACACACACACACACACACACACACACACACACACACACACACACGAATATGTAAGTGCATATTCGCGCATGCGATCCAGTGTACTTGTTACTGTGATTAAATAATAAACATCTGTTTATGAATTTATTGATTGTCAATGCTTCTGTTAGCTTCTTTTAGACCGGTTTTTGTTCCGCTTTCTAGCACTGCACATTTGCATTTAACTGAAGGAGCTTGCTGAGAGTTTTTGTTTTTCTAATATTTATTTATTCATGGTGTCATGGTGAGTTATGACTTTCAAAAGACAAATGCAAATAAACATATATATTTTCCATTTCCTGTATTTAGAGGGATTGCAGGTCGAGTGAACTATTTTGCCACTTGGCAGAGAGCACAGTTCATACCTGATACATATTTTTACACTTCAACTGAGTTACTTGATTTGTGATAATAGATGTAATTAAAAGAAAATGACTCAATTCGATTTAGACTAGGAATACACTATCTTGGCTATACTTGTGTCAGTGGGTCTATCCTTTCCATTAAGTTGTATGTTGTTTGTTTCACCACATGTCAGGAGCTATGCCTTGTTTGATAGAGGGAGAGCTAGCATAGCATGGAACGCTAATAACAAAAGCTCAGTACGTTGTAACTATTTGATATCTGCTATATCAACAGCTCTTCTTTGTAGTTTACAGTAGCTTTGACTCCAAATGAAGCTCCTCAGCCTCAGCAATCGATATCATACAATATCATACATATACAAACTAATAGACTGCTTTTTTTCTATCTCACATTTTGCCTACAGGCTGCTAGAACATAATTAGGTTTACACATTTTTGGATAACAACACAACTTTTGTAATTTTGCATCTGTACACCACCACAGTTGATTTTACAGTGATGTGGAAAAGTATTTGCCCCCTTCCTGGTTTCTTAGGATTTTGCATAATTGTCACACTGTCATGTTTTGGGTCATAACATACATTTTATTATTAGTCAAAGAAAACCCGAGTAAATCCAAAATGCAGTTTTTAAATGATGATTTAATTTATTGTAACTGCCCCCATGAATTAACTACATTTTTTTTAAAGCTGACTTCAGTTCCACTAGCCACACCCAGGACTCATCACTATTACACCTGTTGAATTAAGAAATCACTTAAATCTGTCAAAGTGAAGGCATCTTCTGTGCCCTGAAATACCACAGAAGTAGGGATGGGAATCGAGAACTGGTCCCCAGTATTCCAATTCCTTAGAATGTTAGTCTACTTGTCTATCAATCCCAATTATTGGCTCTACTTACACGTATGGTTTGATCTATCAAACCAAGTCATCTATCAAACTTGATGGACACCAACACGTTCTCACTCCCAAAGCGTAACATTTTACGCTAGGTGACAAATAATCAACATATTATGCTTCTGGCCACCCAACACGTCCCTACATTACGAAACATGAGAACCGTTTGGAATGAATCTACACATGTACGTTTGTTTCGATTAAATCGCTTTGGAAAACACTATCTAACGTCATTAGAGTGCTGGTTAAGGTTAGAGATGAGGTTATGGTTAGGTATAAGGTTAGGGTTAGAGCTGGAATACATGGCTGGAACGTGTATTTCATCCATAACCCGGCTTGTAGCATAGGAACGCGGACGGTCACCTTTCGCGTTCCTCAGGAACGCGAGACTTGACAAATCATCATTATATTACTCCTCGGGAGTGAGAACAGGCTGTGGAGGCAGTGTTATAGTTATGTTATAGCATGGACATCACTAGTACTTTTGATGATGTGTTCTAAAGCTTACATGGCACACTGTCTGTTCAGATTCAAACAAAGTCTGCAAAACTGATGGGAAGGAAAAGTGCAAATATGAAGAGCATGTTTTTCAATTAAAAAAGACCCAGCTGGACGCAAAAAAGGCTCACAAACAGTGATGGCAGATGCAGTAAAAGGTCTGAAAGAGCATCTCAAGGTATCAAGCACAACATACGGTGATCAGTCCAAAGGTTCCAGAGAATCATTGACTGCACAAGATTTTAATTTAAAAAAAGTAAAAAAAAACAAAACAAAATACTCCTTGCACTTAAAATGATCGTTGTTTGCCCAATTGAAAATGGGGGACTATGTAGAATCACTGAGGGTTAGATTCAATGTATCACCAAAAATTTAATTAAAGAATCTTTAAGTGTTCCCTTGGAGCTTGGAAATAACTAGAAGTGGCTATGCATAGTGTACATTTGCACAAGTAAAGAAGAAACTGATAAAAACCCCACATTGGCTGAGAGGCAGAATAAAAGACTGATGCAACAAAACCATGAATATGCTAATTAGCACTCTCAGTTCAATTCAATTTTATTCATATAGCACCAATTCACAGCAGTCACCTCACGGCTTTGTAAAGTAAAGACCCTAAAATATTAGAAAAAAATCCCAACAATCATACAACATGGCCAAGCACTTTTTACCAGGAAGAAACCTCTAGCAGAAGCAGGTTAGGCTAAGTTTTAACTACTTTCCATTGAAATCAATTGGCGACATTGCTCCGGACCCCAAAATATTCCAAACAAGCAACAAATATAGGTATGGTACAAAATATTTATTGAGTAACAGTTCTGTAAACATCTGAGGTAAATCAACATTTACATCAACATGTTCTTCAACAAAAGGTTCAGACAAAAGGCCCTTCTCTTCAAAGACAATCATTTTACAGTGGGAGTAGTCGCAGGGGTTATTCTGTGTGTGCTCCTGCTTGTGTAGATGATAAGTCCATCATATAATCTTCATCATTTCCCATCAGAAAGTCTTTGATTCAAGGTACATCCACTGGTAAAAGCTAGAGCCAACATCTCTTCAACCATTTTCAGGACAGAAAAATATCACTTTAGTTTCATTTCTCGTCCATTCCAAGTCTAATTGTGTTTGTTATTTCCACAAATAAACTAAATATGTTAATATATCCCTCTTTATACAAAACCCTTCTGATTTTTGCTTCTCTCTAAATATTTCAATGTCTTCATAACTGTCTAACTGTGCAAAACTTTACCTACATGTCAAAGATACTAAGAACAACTTGGTACAATAAAGTTTAAAAAAAACAACATTTAAACAATAAAAAAAGATAATACCTTATTTCAAAAAGTCATCTTTTTAAAAGAAACTCTAACATAATGTATTTTCTGTATTATCTCTTTGGTGGATATTTCTTTGGTTTGGTTAAATCAACACATCACAACCTGCAACTTCCTCTCTAAGAATAGATTAAGTGGTTCAGCATCTACAGTGTGCTGAATTTATTGTCACCCAAACTTGATCAGAGACATAAACTCTATCCACAAACAGCATTTATGGGGGGGCTAATTTTATTCATTACAAAATGATTTGTTCTTAACTACAAAGTATGTAGAACAAGTTCCTTTCACCGTATATTGATTCTAATTTATCACCTTGTTTCTTATGTTCATTTATGCGCTTTAGGAGTTGAACTCATGACAAGATGGAAATCTTTAACTCCGAACTTTGAAAAGTTCCAAACATGAACCTGAGGGTGACCCCATCAATGGTATGCCATCTAGTTTTACAGAAAATACATTCTTAATCACAAACTTAATGACTGGAATAACATCATAATCAAATAAAACAGAGGTAACACTCTACGAACAGATTCAATGTCACTTGAGGCATGTCCCATCTCCAGCGAATAGCAAATATTTGGCAAGTACTGTGGCATTCTCCTTCACTGTTTTGATATTGATATTGGTATTAGGCCATTAAAAAATACCTTAAGGATGTCAACACTTTTACAGATTGATGAAACCTGAAATGTGACATAGTTAATGTCTGAAAAGGGCTCTGGTTTATACCATGAACGTGGTAGATGCTTGCAAGGGATATTGTGTTTTGGGGAAACAACCACATTTGCTATGTTTTTTAAAATTTATACTAGACAAACGATCCAGCAGATCCAGAAGCACTATTTATCTGTGAATCTGTAAATCCAAAAGATAGGTGGTTGTGCTAATCAATATGCCTGGGAGCAAGGGTAGCTATATATATAATATATAAGCTAGCAGTCTAGTCTAGTAGCGGCATTAGCATCTTTGGAACAATAGGTCAGACCCTATTGTTCCAAATTCCTGAGGCAAAGCCCCTAAGGCTCTCTGAGCAACGGAAAAGGGAAGGGGAGCATTAGTGAGTGTCAAATCCACAGTCCAGGATGAAACATAGAGCATCCACGAATACATCGGGAGGATGGACCCCAGAAATAAGCAGCTGCAAGAATGCCTCTGGCAGCTGAAGACAGAGGGCGATGGACGACCAAGCATAGGATGTACCATCGACAGATAGAGGAACTAGATGGCATCAAGATTTCCTACTAGTGGCTAGAAAAGGCTGGCCTAAGGGACAGCACAGAGGCACTGATCATGGCAACACAAGAACAGGCCCTAAGCACCAGATCCAGAGAGGAAGGAGCCTACCACCGCCAACAGGTCCCAAGTTGCAGCCTGTTCAAAGGTGCCCAGGAGACTATCCACCACATATTAGCAGGATGTAAGATGTAAGCTGGGGCCATTTACACTGAGAGGCACAACCAAGTTGCTTGGATGGCGTACAGGAGCATCTGTGCTGCATATGGACTAGAAGTCCCCAAGTCCTGATGGGAGAACAGCGCCAAAGGTGACTGAGAAAAACAGGTCGAAGGTCATGTGGGACTTTGAGTTCCAGACAAGCAGATGTTGGCCAACCAACCAGGCATAGCGGTGGTTGAAAAGGAGCAGAAGACTGCAATCGTGATAAATATGGCAATTCCAGCAGATAGAAACATCAGGAAGAAAGCGCTTATGAAAACAGAGAAGTACTGAAGGAACAACTGCAATAGGAAGGGAATGGAAGGAGCTTTAACCCTAAAACTGGAAGAGTGGCTCCAGCAGATTCCAGGCACAACATCAGCAACATTCAGTTTATTCTGGAAATTTAGAACTTAGCTTTATTAAGAATATTAAGTTGACTTTATCCACTACACCATGTCTACGCCATCCAAAAAGTGTAAAATATGAACCTTTTCAAATTGAAATGAATGCACATTATCGAACAATCACTAGATCTATGTTTATGCATTTGGTTTCAGTATATGAGCATTACTTAAAGCACTTTGATATTTGACAGCTGAGCTGTGAAGTATGTGAGGAAAAAAGTGTTTAAATTCAAATGTTAATCACTGACTGTTCTTTGGTAGGATGCTTTTTTTTTTTCAAGCGTGTTATTTATAAGCAACTCAAATCTGTTCATAGAGGAACACAAAGTTGCAAAAACACAAAACACAGTTTCCTCCAAACCACTCTCTCTTGCTGTCCTGATGCAAGGCTGACTTTTTCCCTCCAATGGATAAAAGTGGGTAAATTAAAGCTTTAGGGAAGTTACTAATAAGCAACATAACAACCTAGAATGCATAAACCATTATCCGTGTGTTTTCTTGTGTTTTTAATCTGGCAGGAATTAATAGAAAAACAGGACATAAATGAACATTCCTATGTGGGATGTGTTAAGTACTAACAGCAAAGTAAAAATGAACACTTCTTAGATCATATTGCTTTCTTTTCTCTCAAAAAAATCTAAGAGCTACAGCATAATCTACAGCTCAACTAGAAAATTAAGTTAAGAGTCCTCCTAAACAAAACAGCTCCAGGGAACTCAACACTTCCGTGCCACACTGCAAACACAACCAGCAGAAAGAAGGCAGTTTTTATACTCAGTTCAAGCTGCAAAACTTAAACCTGTTCAGTAAGGAACTTTGAAATACTGTCTTATTAGTCGACTCAACTCTTATGCTAAGGGGTTTTGCATAGTGACAAACTTTGGCTCAAAGTCAGTAAAATGTTAAAGCATTTATGGTTTTTGGTTTCTTATGTAAAACTGCAGTTTGATCAGAGACAAACTTTTTAAAAACATAGGTAGTTCTGTATAAAGTCTTGTCGTGCATATCAATGCTGTTAATTATTATGTATTTACATATTTATATATAGTTTACCCTGATGTAACCGCAGAGATATTATTTTGTAAACACGAAACATTATAAATATACCTAAATGCAGACACACACACAAGCCTTAGAACTACATCTCTGGGTGGGCCTGCTTTATGGTCACCTGCTATTTTCTAATGCTGGTGAATCCCTCTATTTATTAAAACTACAGGCTGTGTAGAGAGCGTACACAGAGATGGACGAGTTCTACACACTTACGACACTTCAGCTCCACCATCACATCACAAGAAAAATTAAAGCTCAAGAAACAAAAGTGCAAACCTTTCCTCTGATGTCTCACAGGAAAGAAATAAAAGAAAGATGAAAATAAAAAAAACTGCACAAAAACTTATTAGTAAGTCCAGTCATCATCATCATCACAATAACCTTTCCTTATATGTATTTTTGCTGGCTGTGTGGATATTTTAAGTGTGTAGTTACATTAAATATCATCTAGATTTCTTATCCTGTATTATTCTTTTGTCAAAGAGGAGTGAGAGAATGGCCAGAGAAGCAAAATTAAGTAGCAGCAAAATGGACTTCTGCATTTCTGTCTTTGTGTCAGTAAACTACTAAAACAATCGATTTGATATGATTAGCTTAAATTGGCTGGGGGTTGTTTTAGTGATACTTTTTCAGTGGGCAATATCATGGCTACAAGAAAATTCCTGAAAACTCTAAGCTGGAATGACAACCATGGCCTGACAGGATTTTTGGTCTTGAAACAATCTACATACAAAAGATATAGTTTCTTGGTCTATTTAATTTAGCCTCTAAACCTAATAATAAAAAAATAAAATAAAAATAATCTGGATGTTTTTATATGTTTGTAAACGAAAAAAATGGACCCCCATGTGCACAGCCATTACTCTAAACAATTTGAACCTCCTTTGAACTGAAAACTTACACGTTAAGAAACTAATGTGGACATACCCTGATGTTGTCAATATCTATGTAGGGCATCATTTCAGATTCGCAATGCTGACTATAAACTAAGCAGCCAACTCCAGTAGGCATCAGGCTAATGCTGAAGTGCATGCTTAGGTGTGGTTTTATGCTGCAGTGCATATTAAAAGAAAAAAAAAAAGCATGTGTAGGCTCTCTCTGTGTATAGAGCATGCATGCATAGTTGGGTAAAAGTGTGAGTGAGTGTGTGTTTTAGCTACACGGCCAGGTCATCGGGGCGAGCTCGTCCACCGCCACTCTTGCTGGCCCGACTTGGCTTGCGGTTGTCTGTCCCCGCAGCAGCAGGAGGCAGATGCATCTCCGCCCTGGTTACCACAGTGAAGTCATTGTGCAGGACCTTAGGTGCTGTGATGACAGCAGTTTCCTCTTTCATTGCCGTCTCCTTTGGCATGAGAGAAGAAAGAGGGGTGTTGCGCGGAAGTGTGGGAAATGCAGATTGCTGCTCCTCTGGTGTTGGGGTCTTTTCCACTTCAGGAGAGGAGGAGGCTGAGGCTGAATTTTTTCCATTCAGATCGTGGACTTCCAGCACCATGTTGTTCCAGTTCTGCTCCATCACCACCAGCTGTCCTTGACTTCCAACACCCACTTTCTCACTGCTGCTATAAAAAGAAGCAGCATCCAACAAGAAGTCGTCTGGGTGGAACGCCGTGTTGTCCATCTTCATCCCAGCAGGCACAGGGGTGGTCGCAGCGTTTAAGGAGGTCACAGCAGGGGAAGACTCTGGTGGGCTGTAGGCCCCTCCCTCAGCTGCCCCGTCTCCCGTCACACTCACGCTGCCAAATGTCGGCAGACAGTCGAGCACCAAAGGAGAGGTCTGCTCAGGGATCGTCTCTGCGTCTGTGGGCTCATCTTCAGCCAGAATCAGTGACTCGCTGTCAGGTGCAAACTCATTGGTGACCCCTCGCTTTACTTTCTTCCAGCCTAGGTGATAGATCTCCAGCAGGTTGAGGACCAAAGAGACACAGGCAACGACCAGCATAAAGATGATGAAGATTGTCTTTTCAGTGGGCCTATGGCAACAGAGGAACAAAAAGAGGTTGTGATTAACAAATCACACCAGTGTATAATAGGAAATGTAACATTAAAAGAAAAAGAAGGAAGAAAATCCAATGTTATTGTTGGATTTCTCATTGTTAAAGCGATAAAGGCTGCAGTGGGAACACTTGGTGATAATCAATTTTAAATAACCCACAAGGGCAAAAATGTTAGTATTTGAACAATATCTTCATAGACTAAAGTAACTAGCTCCTTACTATTCAATATACTATTTATTCATACTATGTCCTTTTACTTTAGACTCCCTCTGTAAACACAAAATCCTCTTGTGTTAACTGAAATGAACCTTATTGTACTCGCTTGTACACTGTACTTCCAACTGGGTCTCTCTCCTAGAGTAGCTTTGCATGATTGTCAGTTCAAAATAATTCAAAATAATCCTTAAGCCTTTTGGTAGGCCCTAGATTCATTGAAATAAGGCTTCTCTTTAAGCCCTTTGCCTTGATTCATACTGACTGCCACTTACAAACAAAAGATTTGATTTGACCATGCTAAGGTTATCACTATTATTGACATCATACAACATACTAATGTGATACAAACTGTCTGATAATGAGTGTTAAGAGCATTTTGTTTATTTATAAATATACTGACTTCTGACACTGAAAAGCTTCTTAAAAACAGACCTAATCAGACACTTAAACCACCCTCATTTAGCTCATTATTTCTACCTCTTCCAGGAAAGGAAAGATGATTCGTAATTTGTTTTGTTTTTTTGCCCCTGTGGTATTTAAATACTATTGGGTATCAAAATTCTAGTAATGTGGCAACTAGGGATGGGTACCGGTATCATGGCACCGGTTCTGACATAAACGGTAGTAACCAGACCGAAAAGCAG